CCCATTCGAGCATTGAGGTTTAATTTTAACTGCACATCTTTGAGTAAATCATACTAATTTATATTCACATCCTAGTAATATTTTTTTAACCAAATGTAAGAATAGAGTGGAGCAGAAGTTGTACTAACAATAAGAATGATGATGATCAAAATAGTACTGCATCAGATTACTGTAAAGCATATGTTTTGTGTTTATTTCCACAGCGCAATGCACACGGCCTTCTTTTACATCAAGAAATGTCATTTTAACAGCAGAGCATCTCTCGACTCCTAGTTTCCCAGATGGATCCACTGTAACATTTGAGTGTGTGATTGGACACAAGCCAGTTGACTTAAAAGCATCTAAATCAGTTACCTGTCAGGGAAACCAGTGGACAAATCTGGAACTCAATTGCGCAAGTATGTACTGTCGTTAAATATGTTAAGTACCCTACATTTGTAAATTTCTCTAAAATGCCTTTTGTCTAATTTAGATATGTGAAAGGATGTATGTTATAGGTCAACAAGTCATTAAATAGCTTAATCATTAAATAGCTCATAGTGGTTTTGCCACTGACAGCAGGAAGCATCACAGTATCACACATTTCCTCTTAAAATATATCCCTGTATCATGTAAAGAAGCAACACTAAAGATTATTTTTCATTATTTTCAACAGTATTTATAGAGCACCAATTCTAAATCAGTCAATGTCTTGAATACATTACAGGAAAATCCTGTGGAAGCCTTGCAGATTTTCTTAATGGCAGATATGAAATTACTGGAAATTTATTTGGTGACACCGCTAAACCAGTTTGTGACGAAGGGTTTGTGAAAGTCACTTTCTTTGTGGTGGATTAAGTGTGTTTTAAACCATATGGAATTTAGGTTGTGAGCTGTGTTTGAGTATTTGGTAAGAGGAAAATCATTGCTTCCAGATACATGTTAGCGGGTCGAGAAACAACAAGAACATGCAGAGATCAGGGATGGGATGGCCGAGATCCTCTCTGTGAACGTATGTCAGTTCTTACATTTGAATCAAATATGATATTGAAGAGCACAAAACAAATCCCAATTTGTATTAAAAGATTAAATTTTTTTTGGCCTTTTTTTTAATTTTTATATATTTTTTTATTTTATTATTTTTTTTATAAATACCTATTCACCTGGATATGTTTTTCTCTTTAGCTGTAAAATGTTCAGCACCTCCAGTCATAGAAAATGGGCAACTTGAAGATGAGCCTTTTGAGAGTTATGATTATTCACAAGCAGTCTCCTATAGATGCAACAAAGGACTTGATCTTATTGGACAATCAACACTTCATTGTTCTGAGGATGGAACATTTAAACCAGATCCACCAAAATGTTTTGGTTATTGAAGAGCACAAAACAAATCCCAATTTCTATTAAAAGATTAATTTTTTTTGGCCTTTTTTTTTATCTTTATATATATATATATATATATATATTTTTTTTTTAATAAATACCTATTCACCTGGATATGTTTTTCTCTTTAGCTGTAAAATGTTCAGCACCTCCAGTCATAGAAAATGGACAACTTGAAGATGAGCCTTTTGAGAGTTATGATTATTCACAAGCAGTCTCCTATAGATGCAACAAAGGACTTGATCTTATTGGACAATCAACACTTCATTGTTCTGAGGATGGAACCTTTAAACCAGATCCACCAAAATGTTTTGGTAAGTTATGGTTCAAATGCCAGTCAAGAGATTTGGGACTTGGGATTTGGGAGTTGATTCCGGTTAATGAATAAAATATTTAATGATCAATACTCTTCTTTTACATAAACATTTTTTTCTTTTCTTTTTTTCCCAGATGGGTGTCTAGCGCCTACAATTCCTAATGCAAAAAGAATTAATGGAAAATCACCCCCCTACAAACTGGGTAACTTTGTACAATACAAATGTGAAGATGGCTATAAAATGACAGGAGAAGATTATATTGTGTGTACAGCAAATGGATGGGACCCTGAACCACCAAGGTGCATTGGTAAGACTGAAAGGATTTATTTTATTAATGCATGACTGTATTCTGTAAAGGAACAGTTTACCCAAAGTGAAAGTTGTCATATATATATATATAATGTTAGGGGTGGGCGCTATACCGGTATGAAAGTGACTACCGGTATTATGTTGTTCCAAACACAGAGCATCGTAACAGACCAAATGAATAGAGCACAAATCGCCTAACGTTACTCCAGTGGTTCCCAAACTGGGGGGTTCGGCAAGGCTGAGGGATAGTGTACAATCCAAAAAAAAAACTGTCTATTGTAATATACCTGCACAGACAATTGTCAGTTTATATATTTTTATTCCTTATTTACTTGTTCTATTTTTTATTTTTATTATCTGTGTTTTTTGTTCTGTCACTGTCATTCTGTTACACTGTGGAAGCTTCTGTCACGAAAACAAATTCCTCGTATGTGTAAACATACCTGGCAATAAAGCTCATTCTGATTCTGATCTGCAGATTATTTTGCAAAAGAAACTTCTGCAGGGTGATAATGACTACACTGTAATTTTCCCGCGTATCATATGGCCACTTGCTTGATAAGTAAA